TGATTATTTTAAATAGTTTTATTAAATTTTTTTAGTTAAATCATATTTCCAATAGCATTTAATATAGATTATGAAGAGTAATCTTGGCAATTTTTTTTAATTTTATTTAAAAACCCACATATCTCTCATATTAATTATGTTGGATTTTTCCTTTTTTTTTCTTTGTCTTGAATATGAATTTCCACCTTTTGCCCTTAAGGGTTAGGTATTGTGTGTGGCACATAGCATTTTCCATCAGTAGCTAAACCAAGTTCAACGGTAAGAACTGCAACTACCAAAATCTTTGCTCAAAGCAACTACCAAAATTTAATTGACGGAGATTTCGTCCATAAAATTGTATCAAAGTTCAAATAGCCACAAAGTTCCGTGCTGTTTACCTAGAAACCAAAAAATAAAAATAAAAGGCTCTTGCATGTGAATGTGTCCTTCAATCAAAAAGCGAGTCGATTTATATTTGCAAAAAAAGTGAGAGAAAATCGAACAGTTGATAGTGTCAAAGCAGGAGCCTGTTTTAATGTAAACGTCAGAGCAAACCGTGAAAATCCATATACCTAATTTTCAAAACCAAGAAAATAGTGCACTTTAAAAGAAAAACTTACTTAACGTGATAAACAAATAACAAAAACGAAAGGAAAATAAGGCAAAAAAAAAAAAAAAAAAAAAAAAAACGTGCCTACTTCGGATTAAGCAAATCTATATCTATAAAAAAAGGTCACTAGAGTCATTTTGTAGGCAATTGTTTCAAATCCATGATTTCAAACACATCTAGAGCCGTTTTACAAGTAGTTACCAGTTAAAAAACAACCTATAACTAGTACATCTTCCAGTCAAATCATTCCATTTATCTTTCCTAATGAAGGGGAGAGTCGGGCAAAACATTCCATTTGAGTAACAATATTCCATTTATCTAATAATGTAATGCTTGGTAGGGTATGAGAACACTGGTAACCTGAAAAATTAAATGAATAAAACAAAATTAATAATAACATTTAATGCAAAATAAAAAATAAAAATAAAAATAAAGGATGGAATTTACTGGATCGTATGACATTAAGCCTCCATCTCCCAGCCCATTTAGGATTATAGTGTTCGAGTGATTTACACATGTAGCAAAATTTTGATATCAAAGTTTAAATTTAGCAAAAATTTTAAAATATTACAAGAATAGTAAAATTTTATATCATTTTTATGTCTAAAATAATGGCTATATATAGCATTGTATAGCATAAAATATGATATCATTATGATAATTACTATGTCATTTTTGCTATATTTATAATATTCTAAACATTTTGCTAAATTTCAAATCAAGCTATGATATTTTGCCATGTAGTGTAATTATCACATAATTGTTTTTTGACTGATCTACCCCTAAAACCTTTCTGCTAATTTGTAACGGCCCTCCCAAATCTACTGTATATTCTTCCATCCACTCTGTTATAACCCCAGTGTCATCGTGTCTTCCACCTTTAAAAATCATTTATCTTGTATTCTCCTTGCGTATGCACGTCTAGATATAGAAAAGGTGAAAACCATCCATTGAGATCGGCTAGTCTTATTAAGGTTTGTATGTGTTGGTACCCGTTAGCCTCTTACCAATTTGTTGTTAAATTTGTTGTAATAAATATAAGAAACACGTGAAATAGTAAAAAAAGACACAAAAATTAGTATCGCGGTTTGGTAACCACTTATGCCGCGGGATCACGCCAAGATGATGAACAATCTACTAAGTAAATAATGTTACAATTCAAATGGACTTAATCACACAAAGACTCCTTCTCTAAGTATAACGCCTGTGAACCTGCAACTATACAATAGACTTGCTCGGCAAGCTCCCCTCAACTTCAAAACTGCACGGCGAATTCCCATCGGCTGGCAGTACGCTCTCTCCCGAAAGTTTCAAATTCTTCTCCCGAAGAATGTTGGTTGAACTCTCTTCAACACTTCAAATTATCTTCTCCCGAAGACTGCAAATTTTTCTCCCGAAGAAGGTGAAAAATAAACACTCACAAAATGAATTGACTCTGTAATTCTGAAGCTCTAAAGGCACATCGAGATCATTATGAGACTCCAAATATATAGCCAATTCGTTCAAAGATGATATCTTCCAGTCAAATATGCTGCAATCAGCTTGTTGCATATTCTGTTGCAACAATTATTGCATCAGAGCTGTCAAATTGCTCCAAAAGTCAACTTACTTGATTCTTAAAATTTTCTCATATAAATACAGTATGATCCTTATAGAATACTCCATGAACCAGGATTATTTTTGTACAGCCAAACAAAATCTCCTTTACAAATCAACCAACTCATCAAAATTCAACTTTCTAAAAACATATAAAAGTTGACTTCAATTAAATCAATCCAATGAAATAGTTTCCTTAAATGCTTACTGCAATTCATAGTTTCCAAAACATATTCCATCCATCATCAAAATTACCAAAACAACTATAGTTGACTCATCAAAATAAAAAGACTAGATAAGGGACACAAATTTTGATAAAAACCGATTCTTTCTAAATATAAAACCTGCAGCATATCAATCTCCAAGAATCAAATCAAAGCTGCAAATCAATCTCCAAATCAAACCTAAAATCAAATCCTTCAATTTGTAAAATAATGCCAATCAATAATCCCGTCTGGGCAAAGAATACCTCTCCATTCATTGTCCTCTCCTATACTATAAACCCAGGCTAACTTCCTGATAGTAGCTTCATGACTGAGAATGCCAACGCAAACAAGCTTCATTTTGTTGTCGATTACATCAATGCCACAAGAGATTTTGTACTCGTACTGCTTATCAGAAGGAATCTCTAGCGCTTGGTGTAATAAGCACTTCTTGCCTGAAGGGACTTAGAACAATAAATGATCTGCACTTTCCTCTGCCTTCCTGTTTTTAGACAGTGGCGGAGTCAGCCTTTCACTTTAGTGGGGCGTACACTAAATATTTTTTAACAAATTATCTTAATGAGGGCATATAAGAAAATATATTTATTTTAGTAGGGGGATATATTATTTAAGTGGGGGAACCAAGTATGAAATTTTAACATTTTTAAAGGTAATATTTTTATTCAAAAAAATTTGAGTGGGGGCGGTAGCCCCAACTGAACTGTACTTAAATCCGCCACTGCTTCTAGGTAATGGCGATTCTTCTTCTTCTTCGTCTTCTTCGTCGTCGTCTCCTTCTCTTCTTCTAATGGCGTTTCGTTTTTGTTATGATCAAGTAAAATTGTTCTAACTCAACAAGACTCGTTCTCACCCCAACTACAATTTGCTTGCCTTTCTGCTTCTCAGTAATGGCGATTCTTCTTCTTTTTTCGTCTTCTCTTTCTCTTTCAATTCCTCCATTACCTAGAAGGCAAAAGGCAGAGGAAGGTGTCTGGATTTATATATGGTAAAGTATATGTTTAGTTATTGTTACACCATGATTGAGAGATCGACCATTCTTTTGAATGATAAGCGCCGAAGACTCTCTGTCGAGAATCAGTCGCTGGCGTCGAGGAAACTACAGTACCTAGGGTGCCCTTTGAACGTCGAGAGTTCATGCAGGGTAACAGGCATCGAGAACCCCGCCAAAGTTGTGGGGGTCACGACGTCGAGGGTAGCAGTCCAGTCCAATCCGAAGATAGTCCCGTCAACTCAAGGAAAGATATATTGTACCAACTACTACTGTCGGAGTCAAGAAACCAGGTAGCTGGTAAGGGTGGTTCGCCTGACCGGGAAGCTGTAATCATGGAAATGCAACTGCTAAATCCCAGAATTTAGGGATAGAGGATGATTTTCTCGGGGAATGGGGAGGAAGTCTCTCACGTGTACAAGGCCTATAAATAGAGCCATGGGAATTCATTAAGGATTTTTTTACGCACTATTCAACTATCCCAAAAAGATTATATTCAACAGAGTATTAGTGCATCCACAAGTAGACTAGGCCAAGAAATATTGCCGAACCACTATAAATTCTTGTCTTTTCTATATTAATCTACAGCAATAATCCTTAATCAATCCGTGAGAGATTACTGTGAGTGTTCTCGGAGAGTTTTTTTCTATATTAATCTACAGCATTAATCCTTAATCAATCCGTGAGAGATTACTGTGAGTGTTCTCGGAGAGTTAAACTTAAGTTGATAGAAATCCACCGTCAATAGTTCTTTTCATTGAATTTGATAAGTTGCATGAGCTACAAGCCGCTAAAACAACTAGAATTCTCGATTTCTTGAATTCTTCATAAGAGAAAGAGTTATTGATAATTTTTCCAAACTGACCTGAAATTATTGGTTGATTTTGCCACTATATAACAATAAAAAAAGGAATCAAATTATGCAATTAATGTAGCTACTTCTTGAATTTGCACCTTTAAGGATGCTATATATCGGACTTTGTTTGGAGGTCTCAAGGGAGCATATTATCAAAAATAAACGTCCCATTCAAATAATTCTATAAGGTCTTTGCTGCATGCACACAAAAAGGCTGACACCCACCGCGATTTAAAGCCAGCCTTGCACCTAACCACGATCGAATGAGACTAGATAAGAAGCTCGTGGGATTGCCGTGTGGGGTTGTAACGAACTCCAGACGAGAATGAAGCGGATGAATACAAGTTATGCCTTAAAATGAAAAACAATTTTGAATCCGTTTTGTTTACGAACAAGGAAGCTAGATGTAGTGTTCAGAGACCACTACATCTGCTACTAACCACGGGCCCTAACATTTTAGTATTTTATATTTTAGAAATGATGGAAATCAAATTATGGTTTATTCATTACCCAATTTGCAAACTAGAAGCTTTAGCGTTACTCTATTGTAATATAAGATTCTCATGCCTCGTTCGTTTCACTGATTCGAATTTAGAATTCGAGTTTTGCTACAGTAAAAAGCTCTCACAAACAATCACATCTAACTTTTTTACTACAGTAAAAAGCTCTCATATACAATCACATCTCAACTCAAATTCTAAACTCGAATCAGCGAAACGAACGAGGCCTCAGAACATAAAACTCCAATTTCCACAAATCAACAACCTGAACGGCCAGTTAACTAATCTTATTCATCACACTATAGCTTGAACATTAAAAAAACAAACAGAAAAACAAAAACAAAAAACAAACAAAGAATTAAGTCATACTAGGAACAAACTAACGAAAATCTTCTTCATTTACGAAAAAAAGAACCTAAATTATCGTCGACGACATGTACAAAGATGAATAATCCGCCGTCCGTGCAAAACAATATATCCCGTTTCCGATGCATTCTAAACTTCTTCCCGCGCTTCGCTTCTCCCTCAAACGTCGTCGTTCCTTTACGCTTAAGCTTTAGCACGGCGTCGTTTCTTTAAGCTCAAGCACCAAAACGGCGGCGTTTCTCAACGGGCTCTACGACAGCGTCGTTTTCCTCAAGGTTAAGGTGCTCAAGCGGCGTCGTTTATCCACGAAAGACCGGCCTCTCCAATCCCGGCGATGAGCTCCTCCCACTGAGCCTCCCCAATCTCTCCGCCGCTCTCCGCCACCCTAACCTCCCCAAACACCAACCCCGGCGCAACCTCCACCGCCGCCGCCACCACCGCCACTCTCCCCTTCCCCATCCCCACATTTCACCCCTCCACCGCCTCCTCCGCCGTCATTCCCGTCGCGAACCGCCTCTCCTTCCGCCGCGCCCCAAACAGCCCCGACAGATCCAGCCCCGACGATAGCGATATTATCTCGAACGCGTTCGCCGCCACCAGATCGTAATCCCGATCGCACTTGTATATCGGATTGTCCGGCTCCAGCGGTAGCGACTTCTTGAACCACGGCAGCTCCACCAACCTCTCGATGCTGATCCTCGTGCCAGGGTTCGGATCGAGGAGGCCGTAGATCAGCTTCCTCACGGTTTTTGAGATCGAATCTGGGATATCGATTTCGCGGCGGTGAATTTGCTTACACATTCCGGCGAGGTTTAGGTCCGAGAAAGGAAGGCGGCCGGCGAGCATCACGTGGAGGATCACGCCGCAGGACCAGGCGTCGGCCTTCGCACCGTCGTATCCGCCTCCGCGGCGGAAGAGGATCTCCGGCGCGGTGAACGCCGGCGTGCCGCAAGCCGTGTGGAGCATCCCGTTCTTGATCCGCTCCGGCAGCGCCGAGAGGCCGAAGTCGGAGACCTTGAGCCTCCCATCGCGGTCGAGGAGGAGGTTCTGCGGCTTCACGTCGCGATGGGCGACGCCGTTCCGGTGGCAGAATCGGAGGGCGGACACGAGCTGCTGGAAGTGGCGGCGAGCTTCCGATTCCTTCATGATCTTCTTTCCTTTGATCCTCTTCAGGAGCTCGCCGCCGGCGGCGAGCTCCATTACGAGGAAGATCTTGGTCTTGGTGGCCATGACCTCGTGGATTCTGAGGATGTTGGGGTGGTGTTTGAGACGGCGCATGGCCTCGATCTCTCCGATGATCAGAGACTCCATGGCGGCGTCGAAGGTCTTCGACTTCTTGTCGATGATCTTGACGGCGACGGTGGAGCCGTCGGAAAGGGATTGGGCCTCATACACCTTTGCGAAGCTGCCCGAGCCCAAGAACCGGCCCAACCGGTACTTGCCGAGGATAGTGGTTGCAGTAGTTGGTGACGGCGGAGGAGGCGGAGGAGGTGGGACCCCTTCTCGCTCCATTTGGTTGTGAGAAAACCGGGAGAAGAACTGAACGGGGACGAAGGCAATTTGTGAGCAGGGAGTTTGGTTTTATAGTGAGGCGTTCTATTTTTGTGTTTCCCAAACTATCCTTTTGTGTTTTTTTAATTATTATTATTATTTTGTTTGTTTTTTTTTAGGTTTGTTTAGGTATGGTTGGTTTTGTATTTTCTTAAGGTTGTCCACATGTTCATTTAACTGCCTTTCCAAATTTCGATCCTCTTATTGTGGATCTCTGGCTCCTCAATCAGGGGCTCCCATGAAATACAATAGAGCCCGCCAATTTATGGAGAAATTATTTAATTTTACGGAGTCCAATAGAATTACTTGTTACAATATGTAATTATAAATTTTTTACATAGTAATAGTAATATAAGATTTATATAATTTCATATAATATGTCACAATATTACGTTTTGTTTTGTTGCTTGAAACGAATAGTAATATTAATTATTTGCATAGTATTTCCTTCAAAATATATATATATTTTTTGCGTAGTGATGTAACGTTTACTTATGATGTAAAAAAGAACAATTATTTACGTACATTCTGATCTCACTACTACACCGAGTGCAAGTGGATACATAGATACATGCATGTATATTGGGATAACAAACTAATTTCATGACTTGTGCTACACGATTAAACAAATTAGCTAAATCAAGCTAGTTTCCTTTCTCTTTTTCAATTTCTTGCGAGTCTTAAAGTCTAATAAAGTTAAGTTTAAGAATCTCTATTCATCTTATTTTATACAAAAGCCAACCACGTTTTAAAATCATTAATTTCTGTTATATATATAAATCCATGAGCAATATTTGAAAAGCGTTAAGCTAATGTCCCAAAATATGCACAAACAGCTTGGTGGTGGATTAAAAATATTAATAATTGGAATCAAGAGAAAAAAAAAAAATAAAGCAAAGAAATGGTCAATACAGGGAGGATATAGAAATGTGCTCATCCCTGTTTTTCGCAAGTTGGGGGACACATAAACAAATTAATAATAATAAAGCAAAGAAATGGTCAATACAGGGAGGATATAGAAGGAATTATGCTCCTATGTGCTCATCCCTGTTTTTCGCAAGTTGGGGGACACATAAACAAATTAAAGAAGGAAAAAAAAAAAAGTTAATGAAAATTGAAAAGCACTAGAATAGTTGCACTAATTAACCATCAATAAAGGCAATAATGTCAAGCTTATTAATCAATTTCCTATCATATCGCCTAAATAAACAAAAATATCTCTGTGTTGAAAAAGAAGCCCTAACAAATCACCTTTATAACCCACTTATTATTTCTTCCAATTAAAAGAGATTTTGCATATTTATATATATGACTAACTTAAAGAAGGTGGAAAAGAACATCATGTATGACCAGAAAAAGAGCAAAAATAATGGTATAGAAAAAAAAGAAGTAGAAATAGAAGAAGAATATAGTGAAGTATTAACTGGCTATCACTTATAATCAGAAAACATGAATAAGAATTAAGAACTAATGGACCGTCACAGTTTTACTTGGCCCCTTAAGTGGGGACGTTAAATAAATGTGACAAATAGTTGGATTTAAGCAGGCTATTAAGGAATATGAGCATGACCCTTCTCATGGTTTTCTTCGAACTTTCGTTTCACGGGTACGTAGTGAAAACTCACTAGCACAAGTTGCACCTATCACTTTTTTACTTTGTCAAATATCTCGCCTGAAAATTGAAAAATACTAAGACAAAAAAAAAAAAAAAAACAAAACAAAACAAAAAAAAAACCCCTATTTTTGAGGCTTATATTATGAAAAAAAAAGATTACGTGAGGCATCACTGTTGAACATCACCACTAATATAAGGTGGTCTCAGCTATATAACTTATGTTGTAAGACTCACTATCTATTAATGTGTGCTGCTCATCACGTACCGTCACGCATAATATTATTTCATATTATAATATTCACGTTGTATTAATATTATTTCATATTATAAGATTCTGGCCGTGTAACTCATGTTTTGATATTCACTTTCTATTATTGTGTGGTGCTCATCATAATTCATCATAATTGTAAGGTTCAATTTGTATTGAAACATGCTTGCTAGTCAATTTAAGCAGACGAAGAAATAACGTGAAAAGGGCTTTTGAGTAATTTAACAAGAGTTTGAAGTCAGGACAGTAACGGCTCAGAAGTGTTTAAGCCACAAAAATTTGAGAATGTTTTTTGTGTCTCTCTCATTCTAGTTTTGACTTTGCTTTCCTTGTGGACGTCGGCTGTAGAGGGAGAGAGAAGAGTGCGTATTGTGTTTGTATTTTTACGAGCTCAAAAGCATGACACGTGCTAACGCATGCGCGTATTATGTAAATAAAATATTAGGGAAAGTACGAGATTAGCGTAGAAACATCTTTTTATTTTCTTTTTCGGCTTTTTTTTCTTTCTTTAATAGGTGAAGCGTATTCTGTTTGAGTGTCTTCGAAAATAAAGAGACATTTAATTCGTAGATTAAAATCATATGATTAGAATTATTTTTAATTTATATGTATTTTTTATGAGAAAAAATATTGTAACGAACCACGAATCATAATTCGACTCAGAAAACGAATCCTCCAACTAAACAATCCCTTAGAATAAAATATTTGAGTTAATCATATTAATAAAACATGTCTTAAATGAAGGTCACAAACGTTAAAAAGAAAAAAACAAAGAACAAATAATATTACTAATTATTTGCCTATTATTCTCTATTTCCTAGTTCATGAATATTAAAAAAAGGGCTAGAATTTAGACGCTACAAATTAATAACCAAATTGCATTTACGACGAGAACTTGGACTCAAGAAAAAAAAAAGGAAAAAAAAAAAAAAAGACCACTTCTTACTTTACAACTCACGTAGAGATAGTTCGATCATAATTGATAGGATATTGTTAGACTTAAACACATGCATATATAAAACAAAACAACAAAGTTGATTGATCTTCCTTTTCAATTAATTAAAAGTAAAAATAATTGGTCAATTAGATTTTTTCTAATCATAAGAACAAGTGATTCTATGGGTCAGCTACTACTTTAGATTTTGTTGTAATAGAAATTATCCTTTGAAGCCGGTGATTTTTGGGGCTTTTTACTTTTACTAGTTTGTAATATGCTCTGCATGTAGCCACGTTAGAGACACTTAAAAAGTTTATTATTTATTAAATAATAAGAAATTTATTTATACAATAATTAAAGGATTTTTAAAGTTATTTTGAAAAGAATATATGTAAAAATAACTTTTGATAGGATAGGGATTACGTGAAAAAAACAATTTAATAGGGACTCATTTGAATAGAATAATTTTAATCATTGACAAAAAAAAAATAAAAACACATGAGAAAAAATTACTTTCATAGGAGTGATATAAGAAAAAAAATATTTTTAAAAAATTAAATGTAAAAAAACATTCACAAGAAATAAAAAATATTTAACACATAAAAAATAAAAAGAGGAGAAAAAAAGAAAGATAAGAGAAGGAACGGCCACTTGAGTGCCCACGAAAAAGAATTTTAACTCTTTATGTTGAGATATAACTTATCATATATATTTTCACTTTATGTACGATCGAGAGGTTCGTTTCCGTTTTCTTTTTCTTTTTCCTTTAACACTATTAAAAGTCTAGACATAATTTTGTTTTTTTGTTTTTTGTATGAAAATATCATTTATCCCCCTTTCTCTCTTACATGGACTACCATTTGTTTAGTTTTTTTATTTACTCAATTTTACTTTATCATTAATTCATATTTAATTTGTAGTGTTAATTTAAGCAAGATACGTACAAAATGGCCAGTCATCATGCAAAGCAAAAATATAATCAAATATTTTGGATGCTGCCTCATCTTTTACAATTTTAGTATTAAAAACTTGAAGCCGTTTACTTTATTTTCATTTATATTTTCAAGGAACACATATGGGCCAACTGCCAAGCACTAGCCGTTTAAGTAACAAATGTAATGGTGCATATCCAATTAAAATAATACTGTTGGGATTTTTAATCTAATGTGACAAATCTTCCTATGTGGCATTGATGATTAGCGTGGGATTTGTGCATTTTTTTTTATTGTCATTCTTGTATCAAATCAGTTTAATTACTTGTTAATGCTTTTACACATTGTTTTCGTAATTTGTTGATTGATTTCATCATAATTTATTTCCATAAATAACTGATTTGATTGGATATTTGGAGATTTTGTTGATTGTCAACACAAGTTGATTTGTAGGCTAATATTCTGATTATTTGTAGGACTAAGTTGCTGTTTTTAGTGAGATAATATTTTGATTTGCATATCACAAATTTATCTCATTTATTTTCAACAAACTTTTGTGATTTTAGTTTTTATGGTGTTGATCCTTGTACATAATTGAATCTAAGTTCATTAAGGATCTTTTCAGACTTTGATTATGTTCACATGACATTTCATTCAGTGTTTTCCTATTCAATTATGTTCTCATGATTGAAACCATTTTAGGTAACATATCACAGTTATCTATCTAGATTGTTTTGACAGCTGCAGGTTTAGATATTTTGTTCACAAAGTAACAACTGGGGCAATTTAATCAAGAAGATCGCAATCACATCACATCCTTGATTAAGTGGAGAGTCTCTAGACCTCTCTCATAGTTGGGATCTTTATTTATGATCTTATTTAGATCTTTGATGGCGAGAGAGAGCACATATTCATTTCGAGTGTTTTATTTTTGAGAGTAAATTTGAGTGCTCCCATTGTGCTTTAGTGTGAGAGAAAAACCAAAGTTTTCATTAGGCTTTCTTTGTAACTCCTCAACCCTGTTAGTCTGTGAACTTTGTGTAAATCTAAAGTAGGTCTGAGGAGGAGCCAAAGGTGGATCGTGGCGCTCGGAGTAAGTCAGGAGGATTGAAGGCAGGCATCGTGCTTGGAGTAGGTCAGGAGGACCAAAGGCGAGCATAAGACTTGGAGTAAGGCAATGAGTCTGAAGGCGAGTCAAGAAAGAGTCATCACAAGTTAGAAGTTGGTGTAGTTTCGG